CAGCTGGAGCTGCGCCTCTTCTCCCACCTGCACGAACTCTCACTGCGCTGGCACCTGGGGCGCCGCACGGGGGAGGTGCTGCGGATCGTGGACCGGGGCACGTCCAGTGTCACAGGGCTGCTCAGGTGCCCAGCCAGGGGAGGGCAGGGTGGGGCTGGAGAGGCAGGGATGGAAGGGCTCTCAGGAGAGCAGACCCAGCTTGACGAGCTGTCCTTCCATCCTTTTTCTTTTTTAATAAAATTATAAGATTAATGTACAAGTGCTCGTAAGAACTCAAAGCAGACAGAGAGCACATCTTTTCTAAATTTGCTCACTTCTCCAGCGGTCCCCACTCCTTTTAGTGTGTTGAGTTCTGCTTTTCTGCATTTTTACATATATGTGTGCAGACTCACAGAACCAGAGTGGTATTGTGGCTGTTTTTACTAAAACAAATGGTACATGACAGGCGCCACTCTCAGAGTGCTTTATTAACAAAATGTTATGGAGATGTAGTTTCGTCTGTGCATGAAGATCTCCCTCATTCATTGTAGATGATCCAGAGCATTCTGTAGTTTGGGCATGCTATGGCTTATTTAGCTGTCCACCTCTTTAGGGGCATTTAGCTTGATTGTAGTCTGTTGCTATTGAAAACAAAGCACTACACTGAAACTCCTAGAGGTAGAGTTGCTGGCTCCACGCCCGTAAACCTTCTTTGTCGCTTGGCTTGCCCTTCTAGCTACCTGGTGTTCAGCATCATCCCCACGCTGGCCGACATCATCATCGGCATCATCTACTTCAGCATGTTCTTCAACGCCTGGTTTGGCCTCATTGTGTTCCTGTGCATGAGTCTGTACCTCGGTGAGTGCTCCTTGGTGAAACCATCTCCATGGACCATCCAGGGACTCCCTTGGGTGGGCACTGCCCCGGCTCAGGTGACCCAGCTTTTGGAGGCTGTAGATCAGTGGACTTGAACAGGCCCCTCTGCTCCCCAATGTGATGGGAGGGCTTCTCCTCTGCCAACCTGGATGAAGGGCCGAGGAAGGGCATCCTGGTTCCACTTGGTGCCCGCTGTGGATGCAAGTCAAGGAGAAACTTCATTCATGTCACAAGATGCAGCTTGCCTTCATTTGTTCACCACAAGCATTTTACACACGAGGCTTTGTACAGGCTGCAAAGACATCTTGGACACAGCCCCTTCCCTCAGGGAGCTTCGGGCTCTCCCTCCAGGGTTTGGGTCCCTGGGCTGTAGCGTAGAGTTAGTGCATGTGTGGCAGGTAGCAGCCGTACACATACAGTCTCTGCTGTCGGGAGTGATGTCGTGATCTCTTCCCCCTCCTCCTCCTCCTGTCACTCTCCAGCCCTGACCATCGTGGTCACCGAGTGGAGAGCGAAGTTTCGACGAGCTATGAACATCCAGGAAAATGCTACCCGGGCACGAGCGGTGGACTCTTTGCTAAACTTTGAGACGGTAACGGAGGCCTCGGTGGCAGTGGTGTGAGACACGGAGATGTGGAGTTTGCCTGGGACCACCGGGGCTGACGAGGAGCTGGGGGGTGCGACGTGTGCTGTTTAAAATTGGGAAGGAGAAGTTGGAAATCTGGAGGAGGTGATCTGGGTGCTGGACGCTGCAGCCGTGTCGAACAAGGGTGGTTTGACTTCCTCAGGTGAAGTATTACAACGCGGAGGGTTATGAAGTGGAACGCTATCGGGAGGCCATCATCAAGTTTCAGGTGAGGATGCTGGTTTGAGGCCTACTGAGAGCAACGTCCTGGACTTGCAGAAAGGCCGAGAGGAGTAAAATGTGGGCTGTAAGGTTGAAGGTGCTGGGGCCCAGGTTTGGATTTGGTGACAGTTGGCGTGTATGTGACATTCCTCCCTCCCATGTTATTGCCCCAGGATTTGGAGTGGAAGTCAAATGCTTCACTGGTTTTACTAAATCAGACCCAGAACCTGGTGATCGGACTTGGGCTTCTCGCCGGCTCCCTGCTCTGTGCGTACTTTGTCGGCAAGCAGAAGCTACAGGTAAGGGAATTGTGCTGGGGACGGGGAAGAGGAGCCCGGGGCTTATGTCTAGGCCACCAGGCTCCTGGATGGGAAGCAGGCGGGTGACAGTCCGTGGACAGGGTGACAGCCTGCTGGCCTCCTGTGACTCGGTCCTCTTCTCTGGATCTCCACAGGTCGGGGACTTTGTGTTGTTTGGCACCTATATCCTCCAGCTGTACGGGCCCCTCAACTGGTTTGGCACCTACTACAGGTAACCTGAGCCCTGGCCCTCAGCTGTCCGGGGCGCTGTTACTCCCCAGCTCCTCAGAGGAGCTCCAGCCGGTGCTCTTCTTGCAGGATGATCCAGGCCAACTTCATTGACATGGAGAACATGTTTGACCTGCTGAAAGAGGGGAAAGAAGTGAGTGGAGAGAGGAGTAGGGTTTGTAAGAAGCGGGAACCTGCGTGGTGTTTTTTGTGTCTGGAGAATACCAGGCCTGTAACAGTGGCACGCGTTGATGGTACTCTCCCAGGTGAAGGACCTCCCTGGAGCGGGGCCCCTTCACTTCCAGAGGGGCCATATTGAGTTTGAGAACGTGCACTTCAGCTATGCCAGTGGGTGAGCCCCCATTCCCACTGTCCGTTTACACACTGCCTCCCTGCCCCTCATCCCTGCTTCTCAGCTGCCTACGACCTGGCAAGAGGGCCCGAGCAGGGCAGGGGCGGGGCCCAGCAGAAGCCCCAGCGATGGAGGGGGCACTGGGAGTGCAGCAGGCCTGCTGACCACGCCGCTCTTCCTTGCAGGCGGGAGACCCTGCAGGATGTGTCTTTCACCGTGATGCCTGGACAGACACTGGCCCTGGTGAGAGACACCCAGCCAGCTGGCCCCAACTCCTCAAGCTTCCCTCATTCCAGTGCCCATGGTAGCTTGTGACTCACCCTTTGGGGTCAGAGGGCCAACAGGCCAACAGGCCTGAGAATGTTTCCCCTCTGTTTCCAATGCAACAGGTGGGCCCATCTGGAGCAGGGAAGAGTACCATTTTGCGCCTGCTGTTCCGCTTCTATGACGTCAGCTCTGGCTGCATCCGGATAGATGGGCAGGACGTTTCACAGGTAAGGTTGCTTGGGAGAAGACAGTAACTTAGGGGCCTGTGTGTAAAAGAAGGGAAGTGCTGGGCATCCAGGGAGAGGAGAAGGAGATGTTACCCCTGCAACAAGCTGGGGCAGGAGACCTGTTTTTCCAGCACCACATGGCTTACACAACTAAAGCCGTCATGGGAATGGTTTGTCTGGTGCCACACGAGGTACCAAGATCTGCGGCAGTGCAGGGAAGCGGAGACAGAAAGTGTTTTCTCTGTCTACATGGGGAAGCAGACTCAGAGAGGTAAAGGGATCTGCCCCTACAGCTAGGACTTGGAGGGTTGGGGGGGGCAGGATTCTTACCCAGGGCCTCTCATCCCGCGTGCTTCCTGCCAGCCCGTCCTACCTCCCAGGCCTGGGGGATCTCACAGGCCAGGGCATTCGGTCTTTTGGCCCCAGGTGACCCAGATCTCCCTCCGGTCTCACATTGGAGTGGTGCCCCAGGACACTGTCCTCTTCAATGACACCATCGCCAACAACATCCGCTATGGCCGCATCACAGCTGGGAATGATGAGGTGGAGGCGGCCGCTCAGGCTGCAGGCATCCATGATGCCATCTTGGCTTTCCCTGAAGGTGAGTTTCCCCCGCAGAGTCCCTCCCCTGTCCAGTTTAGTCCTGTTACGCCCTCTGATCTCTCTTCCATCCCTTCCTTGCCCATCTGGTCACAGAGACCGAGTTTATTACGTGTGACTTGAGGGAGGTGGGCAATATCCACAGGGTACAAGACACAGGTGGGCGAGCGGGGACTGAAGCTGAGCGGTGGGGAGAAGCAGCGTGTCGCCATCGCTCGCACCATTCTCAAGGCTCCAGACATCATTCTGCTGGATGAGGTGAGGGCCCCGGGCAGCCCTCTCTCCTCCTTCCTCCCCTGCCTGTGCCCACACCATTCCCGCTGGGCACAGTCTTCCATCGAGGATAGATAGCATGAATCCGTGTTTCACAAAAACACCTTACAGTTTCTCAAATGCAAAGTTCTTCTTTGTTCCCGAGGCCTCTGCCAGCAGTTTGCATCCTCCTTCCATGGGGGAGTTTGGGTGCCAGGGGCGGTTTTACCCAGTCCCTCTCTGTAGGCAACCTCAGCGCTGGATACGCCAAACGAGAGGGCCATCCAGGCTTCTCTGGCCAAAGTCTGCGCCAACCGCACTACCATCGTAGTGGCACACAGGTACGGCACCGGGCAGCAGGCAGCGGGGCTTGCTTTTGGTGCTGTGGTAAGTAACTGACCTCTGACTTCTCAGGCTCTCAACTGTGGTCAATGCTGACCAGATCCTCGTCCTCAAGGATGGCTGCATTGTGGAGAGAGGACGGTAAGAGACACAGCAGGAGGAACAGGGCAGGGCCTCTGAATCAGGGGCCCAGGAAAAGGTTGTGAAATCTTAGGGGTTCTGAAAGAAATATCCCTCGCCAATCCCCTCTGTCATCTCTGTGGGCTGGGGCGAGGACTCTAGGGGTTAAACTGAGAGTTGGGACTTACACTCTCCTCTTTGCCCCAGGCACGAGGCTCTGCTGTCCCAAGGCGGGGTGTATGCTGACATGTGGGAGCTGCAGCAGCAGGGCCAGGAAGAACTCTCTGAAGACACCAAGCCCTAGACTAAGGCATGGTGACACAAGTGTGGCTGCTTCCCTCCCAAAGGAAAACTCAGAGGAGAGTAAGATGTAGCCCTCTTCCCTGGCATATTTCATCCTGGTCTTGGGGTATGGTGCTCGCTATAGTGAGGGAAAGGGACCTTTCAGAAAAGCACTTTTTAGGGAAATAAAAGTATGAACTGTGCTAGGATCACTGTGACTTTGTGATGTAGGGCGTTGCAATGGGCCTCTCCCCTTAGGTCCAGGTGAACATTCTTGACAGGACTTTTCTGTTTTTGGTTGGAGAGGAGAAAGAAACATACCACTTGGATGTCTTATTGACTGCCAAGATCCTTTATTCTTTCCAGGCCCCTCCTTGCCCCCTACACGTGGGGGCAGCCCCAGTGTAAGGGGGATGACCAGCATCCTCCCAGGGCCCAACCAGGGAACAGTTCATGCTCTCTCTCATGCAGTGGAGAGGCCAGCAGGGCCTTCTGTAGGCTCAGCTCCACAAGCTGTTTCTCCTGATGCTCCCTGGAGGCGGCCTCCACGTTGCTCTTCACTCCGGGCTGCTCTGGGTCTCCTCTCCCTGTGTACCCTAGAGGTGTGAGGGCCACAGTCCTCCTCAGCTGAGCCCCCCTCCCCACGCCCAGGGCCCTAGCACAGGCTGCAGTTGGACGGCTTCAAGCTGCGGCTTTGAGCCTGGAGCAAGGAGAGGGGAAGGAGGGAAAGGAGGGGAAGGAGAGGAAGACAGAGCATGACATCAAGAAAATGAGAGGACAGTCCTCACTTCAGAGCTCAGCGTGGGCTGGAGTCATACTGAAAACAGAAGGATAACCACCATTCCCAAACTCTCTACAGATTAGAAGGAACTGCCCCCCCCCTTACTCCCTCGAAGCGCAGGACCCCATCTCTACCCCCTCCTCGTACCTGCTGCTGCCGGTATTCTGCCTCGCTGGCTGATAGTGCTTGTGCTAAAGCTAAGTCTTCTTCCTCCTGAGAACTGGGAAGGAGGAACAGCTTCAGTTGAGACAATATCTAAAATGCGAGCACCTGATCTGTTCAGCACCACTGTGCCAGGCACTTCTGAGTATTACCTCAGTTTGCATCCAACCCTACAAAGTAGGTATTAGTACTGTCCCATTTTATAGAGGAGATCAAGACCCTAGTGAGTTAGAGAACCTGTCAAAGGTCATATAGTTCATGAGCTTAATTTTGAGCCCAAGTTCCTAACTATTATCCTGCATCGGGTCAGAGTGGTCTCACCAACTTCACTCCAAACTGAGCCCTTGCCCACATCACACCCTCTCTCACCAGAGAGTAGGTACCTTGGGACCTGGGGTTTGGTCTCTGCTAGGGACAGTTCCAGGGCTCGCTGCAGAGCCTCATCTTCACTCTGTAAAAGGACAAGACCAGTTGCCTTGGACTTGACTCTCTGTGTGGGTTTGCTTCTGTCCATCTACCCTCTGCCCAACTCACCAAGTCATTCTGCAAAGCAGTCACTGGAGACGCTGTCCTCGACGGAGACTGCACTGTGGCCCTGTGGCAGACATTCAAGAGGCTGAGGTCAGAGATGCAAAGGGAAAAAAGGGAGAGGAGAAGGGGGCAGGCCTACCTGCTGGGAGAGGTAGATGAAGGCAAGGTCTGGCTTGGGCTGGGGACGGTGCTTGTGGAGGAAGCCAGACCCTGTGCTCTGGAGATGGCAGCAAGTCTGTAGGAAAGAGACAGTCTTGGCATGCCACCAAGAATAGCCAGCTTCCATGCTCCTCCCAGGCCTCACCCAGGAAGTCAGAAGAGGAGTTCCTCCACACAGTCTGGAAAATGTGCACTCAAAAAGGAAGCTAAAAGACTCCCCTAGCCAAAGGACAGGATTGAAGCTTCCCGACTTGTAATGATAGAGGTTGAGTCAGTTCCAGAAGGATGGGATGATCCCAAAGGCAAGTAGAGGACTTGTTTGCAATTACCCTGCCTTGCTGGTTGGGTGCCCCTCCTCAGAGCAATCATGGTCCAGTGGGTGACGGTGTTTGATGCAGAAGTTTCGGCCACAGCGTTCGCAGGTCAGCTTCATCATTTCCCGCCGCCGGCAGTCAGGGCGTTCACACTTATTGGTGAAGATCTGAGGCAGAGTGGGAAGGTTTGTCTCTGCTGAGACTCTGACTCCCTTCTCCAACACCATCCTAACAGCTGTTCAGGTTTCCAGGCATCCGTGGTCATGGCTAACCCCTCCAACGCTTACCTTACGTTTTTGCTGTGCTGGATCAGAGCGACAGTCTCTGTCAATGTGCTCCCCAACAGCGCGGTCAGGGGGCTCCCCTCTGGCCACAGGCACAGGCACATTACAGAGTGGGCAGACAGGTACCTGGATGTCCTATAGTTAAGGAGCAGGGGTCAGTCTGTGGCCCACTCCCAGTCCAACCAAATATCTGGTCCTCAAAGAACCTGGATATGCCCCCCCTAAACGCACAAGGAAACAATGTTCCCAGCACTGAGCCTCAGAAAGACAATAAAGGAGAGGAAACAGGAGGCAGAGGGATTCCGGAGGTTCTGCATGCATCCTCCACCCGCCCCCTTTCACCCTCAGGCCGCCCCCTCACCTTTTGGTAAGCAGATCCACAGTGATGCTGGGCGTAGGCCACATGGTCTGCGCAGAAGATGCCCGAGCAGGCGTCACACTTGAGCGGCAGAAAATCTGCAGGGAGTGGGTCGGATTGCAGGTCCAGCGGGACCTCGATGTCGTTCCCGTTCGCTCAAGCCTTCCACTCAGGGGAAGGAAAACACCACCCTGTTTACAACAAACTGCACCCTTGCCCCAGTCCACTATCTCCCTGGCCACGCCCCCTCAGCCGCGGCGCTCAACTTCGAGCCCCGCCCCTCTCTCGTATTTACGGCCCCCAGCCCACCCTTCGCCCCACGTGCAGTTCCGAGCCCCTCTCCGCCGGGTCCGCCCCCTGCCCGCTCCGCCCCTCACCCAAGCGCTGACAGCTCGGCTCGGAACAGTGAGCCCCGAGGTCCGGAAACTCCATCGCCGGCCGGCCGGGGCCTGCTGGGAGAAGAAGCGATGCTGAGCGTCTCTAGGGTTACCGCTTCGGGTCTGGACGGCGACCCCGCACTCTCGGGGGGCGCCCTGCCCCGCCCCTTCCTCTCCCCCGCCCAGCCTGGGTTACCGGAGCCTCCTCGCCTCCCTGCTGGCGGCTCCCACTCCTCTCTTCGCGCGCGCGGGCGCGCTGACGTCACCGCGCAGGGCGGGGCCGTTCCGCGCAGTCTCCGGGCGGCGGCGGCGGCGGGAGCGTCCCCCCGGAGCCAAGCCCCGCCCCCTTTTGCTCCGCGGGGCGGGGAGCTGGCTGGCTGTCGCTAGGCGTGTGGGTGGCCGCGCGGGGCTCAGCGATCCTGGGCGCGGGCTTATCTCTACGAGGGGCGAAAGGGCCGGCGAAGGCGAGGACAGATATTTTGGGGAAGGAGGGCTGGGGCGGGTTGAGGTCTTTCACAAGTCGATCCTTCGGCCGCTTCTCTCTCTACACCCTCCCTCTAGCCATTTCCTTCACGGCCACGACTGCGCTTACTCTCCAAGGGCTCACGACTCCCATATTTCTCTGAAGTACAGATTTCTCTCCAGAGCTGTAGATCCTCCAGGTTTAGGTTTGATGCCCTTTATGTACTGCTTCCCTGACTCCCCAGTCTGAGCTAAGCGCCGCTGCTAGGATCTCCATGATTCCATCCTAGCACCATATCACCTTAGTATAATCCGCTGTTCCTTCACAGCCCCCGCCCCCCAAAACACACATTAGACTGAGAAGTCAGGGACCACGCCCACCTTGTTCTGCGTTAGGTCCCTAGCACCCAGCGCAGTGCGTACAGCTGTGTAGTTTTCAGACATCAGTGTGAATCCCAACCACCTACTGAGCTGGTTTAAAAATGCAGATTCCTGGGCCCTGGAGTTTCTAATTCAGCAGGAAACACCTGAGAGAATTCTGACAAAGATTATCCATTTAATACACTTTGTAGTTTTATTTATTTCTTTCTTTTTCCCCAAAGCCCCAGTAGATAGTTGTATGTCATAGTTGCACATCCTTCTAGTTGCTGTATGTGGGACGCGGCCTCAGCATGGCCGGAGAAGCCGGTGCGTCGGTGCGCGCCCGGGCCGTGAACCCAGGCCGCCAGCAGCAGAGCGCACGCACCTAACTGCTGAGCCACGGGCCGGCCCCATTTAATACACTTTGAAAAACAGGAGCCAAGAATATTCTGAGTGCTTATTAAATGTTTCTTGAATGAAGCGTGCGAGTCACTGGGTTGATGTCCTGCTTTGCCTTAGGGAGCCCCATGTTGAGACCTCCCAGCTTCAGCACATTTTGCTTCTCACATGCCTCTGGCCCCTCATACACGGTGTTGGTTGCGCTCGGTCTTCCCATAACTTTGGGCCTGGGGCCAAGTAAACAGTGAAATAGAGTTGAATGATGTCCTCCAAAATGGAGAGATAACTCAGGCTACAATTGGAAATGAGGAGACAGTCTCCTCTCTCACTCTTCCCTTCCCTCTCCCCCTCCAACTTCTGGCTCTGTTTCCCTCTGTATCTGCTTCTTACATCCTCACAGCTCTAAGGCCAGTGGAAATTAAAACCATTTTTCCTGGTTCCTTGAGCAGAAGGCCTAATCTCGGCTCTGACTATGCCTGATTGCCTCGACTTGGATCATCTGCCAGGCCCTGACCTGCGGCCCTGTGGCCAGCGTATGTGATATTCTGACGGGCTAGGCCTGAGTCTCATGTTTCGGGGAAAGGAGTGAGCTGCACCTAAAGTGAAAATCTCCAAGCTGGCTTGGAGAATCCTTCCAGAAAACCCAGGGGAATCCGTTCAATTCCTTCCTTTACTGATTTAACAACAATACATTGAGTGTCCTCTCAAGAGCCTGTCACTGGATAATATATGCAAAGACTAGGATGTGCAGGGCAACATAGCAGAACATTTCAGATACCCCCACTCTGGAGTCGATGAGCATTATTTAAGCCAAAACCTGAACACAGGTTTTGAGTGAGTAGACGTTGGCTAGGTGAAGGCCAAGGGAGGAAGGAAAGGGGTGGAAGGAGATGGTGTTCCAGGCAGAGGAAACAGCAGAGACAAAGGCTTGGAGATAATAGGGAACAAATTCCTTTAGATGAGCTTTAAAAAAGCTTGAGGCACTGGATCTTAGGGTGTAAGAGGCAGGAGACGAAGCTGGAGAGCTAGCAGGGGCCAAATCACCTCAGGCAGTGGAAGCCACCTCAGTATGGAGAATTTAAACATAAATGCAGTCATGCGCCACGTAACATTTCAGTCAACGACAAACCACGTATATGACGGTGGTCTCATAAAATTAGAACCATGTAGCCTAGGTGTGTAGTAGGCTATACCTTCTAGGTGTAAGTACACTCTGTGATGTTTGCACAACGACGCATTTCTCAGAACGTTTCCGTGTCTTTAAGCGACGCGTGACTGTATAATGAGAAACTATAGATAGCTTTAAGCAGGGGAGTGACACAATCAGATTTGTATTTTGGGAAAGTCACTCTGGCTTCAGAGTGGAGAAGAGATTGGAGGAATTATGAGACTGGAAACAGGGAGACCAGGTAGGAGGCTGTTGCTGTAATCCAGGCAAGAGATGATGAGGGCTTGAACCAGGGTGGGAGCTTACAATTAATGAGAGCTCGGTAGAAAGTTTCGATATGAGAGAGGTATTTTAAAATAAGTAACTTTCCAATATATCACTGAAAAGATAAAATGGAAAAAAAGAAATTCTATTCCCAGAGCAATCAAAAGGTACTCAGAACAATTTTTTAAAGAAAAATTGTGACTTTATCTGCAAGAAACACCTTGACCTACCTCTATGCAAAAGTTCAGCCAAACGTTCTGTTAGTGTATGGAACATCGCTGGCCAATCTTCAGGGAAATTCTAGCAGCTACTTCCCTCAACCCACCTTCATGCCCTGGAGTAGGCTCTAGGCAGCCATGTTTTGCCCCTGCCAAAAATGATTGGTCTGGGAGTGCTCATCTGACCCATACTGGGGATCTAAGTTTGTGTTCCCCCAAAAGCATAGTCTGAGACAAAGATTTGGGTACATGCAATTCATGTGGGAGGTAATCCTAGCCAGAGTAAGACAGTAGGAAGAAGGGAGACACGGAAGGAAGGAAAACCAATAAAGAGTGTTATTGGGCTGGTTCCCACTGAGGTTATAGGAGCTCAGTTCTACTGGGAACCCTAGGAGGAAGCATATAGAAAGCACCTCAGAGTTGTCCCTCTAAAGTACAGGAGGCTGTCTTCTGTAAGTTGGAGTTGCTGCTGGAGGTGATAACTCCCTCGTGCCTACCTCTCGCAGCCAGCTGACACCTGTGTGCAAATTGATTGAGCTACGTAGGCTTTGGGGATATTCATAAGTAGAAGATAAAAACAGCAACAACAGCAAACAAACATATAGATATAGAGATTAGATTGGTGGCTACCAGAGGGGAAGTGGGGGAGGACTAAAGGAGTAAAAGGGCACCTGTGTACAGTGATGGATGGTAAATTAGTCTTTGGGTGGTGAACATGATGTAGTCTACACAGAAATCAAAATTTAACAATGTACACCTGAAAACAGCTCATAGGAACTGTCCGCTACAGTGGCAGCTGAAGTCAGAGATGGGCCAAGGAGATGTGGCACAGGGCTCCAGGAACATCTGCTATGTTTGGCCAATCAGATTCTTTCCTGGGAATTTGAAATGGAGGCCAAGGAAATTAGTGTTCATAACACCATTGGGCCTGTAACATATAAGCTATGGGATGGCCATCTGCCGTAGTACCACACTGTCAGACTGGCTGAGGGACAGGAGAAGAGATGGTTATCTGCAGTACTCTGACTGAGGGGACACAGTGAGCTCCATCAAAAGAGATTGACACGTGGGTTTAAGTCATATCATCACCTGACTCTTGCCTCCTCTCAAAGTCTACAGCCCCCGACAAAACTGTCGCTAACTGCCATCACTTTATTGGTTTCACTTTGTCTCTTTTAAGATAGTTATAAGTCATCCCATTAGATTCAGGATGTTATAAGTCATCCCATTAGATTCAGCATTTCTCAAGGCTTTGTCAGAATCTCTGGTGACAACCTGAAGTCAGGCTAGTGACATGCAGGAGACTTTGATCCAGGTGTGCACCTAAGGGCCCTCTGCCATGGGGATTCAGCTTTTGGCCTTTAGAAAGGCCAAATTAGAAAGGCCAGTTAGAAAGGACAAAGGCCCTTTAGAAAAGACCTTTGCAGAGCTTCCCATTTGTGAATTCCACAATCCATATCTGTGAAATCCAGCATCAGTTCTATTAGATTTAAATTTATGAAATTGCTAATATTTGACTATTTTTTTCTCTTAAAAAAATAATTTCATATGGTTTAATCTAATCTAAGCAGCACGTGTGACGGGCAAGAATTGTTTTTCTCTGACCTTCTATCTAATCCTCGGCCTGCTGGGTTTTGAAGACCAGACATGAGGGCAAACAGTCACTGTCTGAGAGCATGGTTTAAAGTCCACACGCCTTAAAATCAGATGGGCCAAATTTGTATGCACCTTAGCCCTTCAAACTTCCACCATTTTCTACTGATAATGTATAAGAAGAGGGTATTAGGTAGGATATAGGTTAAGCTGCCACAATAGGAATTCAAAGTAACAGTGGCTTAAAGAAAGGAGTTTAATTTCTTGCTTATGTAATAATCCAGAGCTGATATGACAGCAAGCCAGGGACCTGGACACCTCCTATTTTGTTGCTCCACCATCCCTAAGGCATTGCCTTTGTCCATGTGGTCCAAAATGAGTCCTCGTTCCAGGTATCAGAAAGAGGGAGAGAAAAAGGAGGGCATACCTCTGCCTTTTAAGGACACAACCCTGAATTTGCATACATCACCACACCCGCCAATACTTAGTCACGTGATCATACCTAGTTCCAGGGAAGCTGGGAAATGTAGTCCTTATCTGGCCATGTGCCCAGATAAAATTTCAATTATTATATCAGTGAAGGAAAACAGATATATGGAGACAACTAATGTCACAAAGGGAAATAAAAGATGACTTTTATGATATTTAGATCATCCTGAGCTTGAAGTAATGAAGCAGGTGGTGGGTGGGTCACTTAAAGTCACACAGCAG